GTAATATGTAGTTCTTTCCAGAAGATAAGATTAAGACGTTTTGCTAAGACAAAGAGCAGAAAGACTCTAGGTTTGTTGATATGTAGATGAAGTTCTATATTTGGCAGGCCAGGAAGGATAGATAACAATGACTTTCAGGACCATAAACCTTTATTTGTTATGTTATGCTAGAGTCAGGTTGGAAAGCAAACTTTAGGAGATAGAGCAATAGTGCAATAAAACCCTGTCTGGTGAGTCTTTATCAGGCAGTGACTCCCCAAGCCTCTTAGTTAGGAATTTGGATAAGAGAAAAAAGCTCAGGTTTAGTCCTCAGTGTCAATATAAGTAATTGTATGGTTAGAGCACCCTCACCTGTGTTGATATAAATCTCAGCAACTGCCAGCAAAACCAGAATCACTTGATAAACATCTGCACACCAAAACATCCTCACAAATGTGGCACCAGAACCTGAGTCCCACATGAAGCAGGAGTCCCATTGTCACTAGATGGGGCTGAGGTTCCAAGTCTGAGGGGACAGAGTCCATTTCTGAAAACTGACAATCTTTTTTTTTTTTTTTTTTAGAAAGCAGGATTTATTGAGAGGACAGAGAAGCTCCCATAGTGGGAGGGGACCCTAAGGGGTTGCCCACTGGCAATCTTTGTAAAAGTGTGTATGCAGGGCCTCACTTACCAGATGGGGACAGATGCGCAGGTGGCTGGTGGGTTTGCACTGCCTACCCCGCCATGGTACTGGAATTCACTCAGGAAGGGCTAGTGGGTTGGGACCTGATTTTGCCACTGCTGAGCCAGGAAGAGGATCAGGATGGTGGGAGAGGCTTTACAGAAACACAGTGTCATGGGCTGACTCTCAATTTACCAGAGGAATAAGAAGTCAAGGAAGACTTTGGTGGTCCAAAACCCTTGGAAGCTTCCCGACTTTCAGTAATCAACTGATCTCTCCTAGATAACTAAAAAAACTGCTTTGATCCCGTGGGCCAGTCCTGCACTCGTTTTATCTACTCCATTAGAGGCCGTAGGGTAGTCCCAGGCCTGCCTGGCCAGCTCCTGTGAGTGGTGGAGCTCTTCAGTGCGGGGGGGCCAGTGGGGGG